TGCAACATCAATGAGCTTAAGCTAGCTCTATCGAAGCGTAATATGAAAGTTAATAATGATACTATTGTACAGAAGCTAACACTATCGCAGGTGGGCCTTTTTAGAAAGAATTACTTGCACTTGATTCTTTGTGCGTAATTGTTATTTGAGCAGGGTTGCCTCTTATTTATTTGGCATCAAACCTTGTTTTTTTTTTTTAACTGAATTTCTTTCTTATGTGCTTTCAGGCCATTGACGCTAGAGATGCTTTAGCAAAGTCAATCTATGCCAGCCTATTTGACTGGCTGGTTGAACAGATAAATAAATCTCTTGCGGTGGGAAAGAGGAGAACGGGCAGATCTATCAGCATTCTTGATATCTATGGCTTTGAATCATTCAATGTATGCTCCGTTTTAGTCTCCCTTTGCTTTTTCCGGCATGAACTTACATAATCAAATCGTTTCATGTATGCTTCTTCTGTTAATTTGGTTTGGTTAATAACTTTAATGTTTCAGAGAAATAGTTTTGAGCAGTTCTGTATAAATTATGCAAATGAGAGATTGCAGCAACACTTCAATCGTCATCTTTTCAAGCTAGAGCAGGAGGTAACGTTACCCCTTTCTGCTATGGGTTCTTGTAGTATATCTACGTAGAGCATGGACAATCACACACAAGCAATTGAGTCCTGAAGGCTTAATATTTATTTTTGTTTCTTCCAGGAATATATTCAGGATGGCATTGACTGGACAAGGGTCGATTTTGAGGACAACCAAGATTGTCTCAGTCTCTTTGAAAAGGTAATGTAGGAGCTACTCTCCTCTAGAGTCATAAATCATCATATGCTACATATCAGTATGTCTGTTACTCAGTATAATATTGTAACATTCTGGCGATAAATTCCCATCATCAAGCTGCATAGCAACTGTTAAAAAGAAAAAGAGGTTTGGGAAAGATATATTGTTATTCCAAAACTTGTGTGTTTAAGACAATTAAGTATCATTTTCTGTGCAGAAACCATTAGGTCTGCTTTCTCTTCTGGATGAGGAATCCACATTTCCAAATGGCACAGATTTGACACTTGCCACGAAGCTTAAACAACATTTAAATGATAATTCCTGCTTCAGAGGAGATCGGGGGAAGGCTTTCACTGTTGCACATTATGCTGGAGAGGTAGCAGCTCTAAAAATTCAGTGGCACCATTTACATGATATATAGCTGGGTTTGTGGGTTCATTTTGAGGTTTAGAAATCAAGAATGAATCAGTAACCTGGTGGGATTCTTTTTTGACGTTACTTTTACTTGTTGTTTCAACTTAGGTTACATATGAGACGACTGGATTTCTAGAGAAGAATCGAGATTTGTTGCATTTGGATTCTATTCAGCTTTTGTCATCTTGCTCTTGCCACCTTCCTCAGGCGTTTGCTTCTAGTATGCTCATTCATTCTGAAAAACCTGTTGTGGGTCCTTTACACAAAGCAGGTGGAGCTGATTCCCAGCGGCTTAGTGTAGCAACTAAATTTAAGGTTGGAAAAACACAGCTTGCGTCTGTTACTATCAAACCTTTCAAACTTGTTGTGGGTTGATTAATCACAGCTTTCATCTCATTAACGTTTGTTTCCCCTTTCTTGTCCAAAAGACTTCTGGTTAAACATCTTATCATCTTATGATATCTGATTATGACCATGCCTGGATATTCTTTTTCAGGGGCAACTTTTTCAATTGATGCAACGTCTAGGGAACACTACTCCACATTTCATTCGCTGCATAAAGCCAAACAATGTTCAGTCTCCCGGGTTGTATGAGCAAGGGCTTGTATTACAGCAGTTAAGATGCTGTGGGGTCCTAGAGGTAGTTCGAATATCTCGGTCTGGATTTCCTACGAGAATGTCTCATCATAAATTTGCCCGAAGGTAATACCTCCATCTCCAGTTGCTGCACTTTCATTGTATTGCATGTCCTCCTCTACTTTTAGTTGCAATAATGTTGAATGAACAGTCATATTGTTTTTCTTCTCGTACTTTAGGTATGGTTTCCTTTTGCTGGAGAACATTGCAGAAAAAGATCCTCTAAGTGTTTCGGTTGCAATTCTCCATCAGTTTAATATCTTGCCGGAGATGTACCAAGTTGGCTACACAAAATTGTTTTTCAGAACTGGCCAGGTACTATACTTATTAGTCTGATGTCTTGACGACCACAAATTAGACATTCTTACTGGAATATGTTTGCAGATTGGGGTTCTTGAAGATACAAGGAACCGTACTCTTCATGGCATTTTACGTCTTCAAAGCTATTTTAGAGGGCACCAAGCACGATGTCGTATAAAAGACCTTAAAAAAGGAATTACTATTCTTCAATCATGTATTTCCCCTTGTCTCATTTCAATATCTTGGTCTTGTATATGTTATCTCGTTACAGTAGAGACATATTTAACTTAACTTGAGCTATGGCTTCCTAATACATCCTTCTGTTCAGTTATTCGTGGAGAAAATATAAGAAAGGAATACACGGAGTTATTGCAGAGGCATCGAGCTTCTGCTGCTATTCAAAGCCATGTTAAGAGAAGGATTGCTAGGCGACAGTATAAAGCCACGGTTGATGCATCTGTTGTAATACAATCAGGTGCGGAAGGGTTGATTAATGCTCATGACTAAAACTAACTAAACCTCAAAATGTATTAAAAATCAGAAGTTTCAAAAAAATGCTGAAACCTTTTTTTGCAGCAATTCGCGGCGAGCTGGTTAGAAGATGCGCCGGGGATATTGGATGGCTAAAATCTGGAGGCACCAAGGTCCTCTAAAAGTTTTCATTCTTTTCTTGCATTTGACTATAGGATGTATATGAATATTTCTCAACTCTTGAACTGATTATTTATGCAGAGAAATGAGTCAGACGAGGTGCTAGTGAAGGCATCGGTTCTTTCTGAACTTCAGCGCAGGGTTCTTAAAACAGAAGCTGCTCTTCGTGAGAAAGAAGAGGAGAATGACATCCTCCGACAAAGACTCCAGCAGTACGATAATCGGTGGTCTGAATATGAAACAAAGATGAAATCCATGGAAGAAATTTGGCAAAAGCAAATGAAATCTTTGCAATCCAGTCTTTCCATCGCAAAGAAAAGCTTAGAGGTTGAAGACTCAGCGAGAAATTCTGATGCATCGGTAAATGCAAGCGATGGAACAGATTTAGATTCAGGAGGTAATCATTTCCAAATGGGCCATGGCAGGTCAAGAAGTGTAGGCGTGGGTTTAAGCGTGATAAGCCGATTAGCTGAGGAATTTGGACAGAGAGCTCAGGTATTTGGTGACGACCGAAAGTTCTTGATGGAAGTGAAGTCTGGTCAGGTGGAAGCAAACTTGAATCCAGACCGGGAGCTAAGAAGGCTGAAACAGATGTTTGAGACTTGGAAGAAGGATTACGGAGGGAGACTAAGGGAAACAAAACTGATTCTAAGCAAACTTGGGAGTGAAGAAACAGGTGGTTCAGCGGAGAAGGTGAAGATGAAGTGGTGGGGAAGGTTGAAGAGTACCAGGTATTAATGGTTTCTTCCTTCTCTTGAGATGCACGTCTCATTTTTACACGTTTGATGTATCTGAGGTTTTGGTTTTGTTACTGAGAAGTGAGAAGGCTCCATGGGACTAACAGAGTCATGTTTCTCATTTCCTTCCAAATATATTGGTAAAATCAGTAAATAATTTATCTATCAAATACATATTTATGTCATCTATTTGTCAAGGCTTCCAAAATTCAGTGGACATGTTTGTGTTTTTTGCTATAATTTCAATTATTATACTGTCGTGAAAGGAAAAAAGAAATCAAGATATATATATATATCTTAATCTTAATAGTTTTTTGACCAAAAAAAAAAAAAAAAAAATCTTAATAGTTTAAACATCTATGTAATCATGCATGCTAAGGCCTAAGAGCAAAATTCTCATTGTCGATATCGAGTAGTCGACCAAGCAATACATGCACTCATAGAAAAAGAGACATCTACAAAATTTAATGAGCCAAAGTAGTCACAGCACATTACATTTGTTGAAAGCATCAACCCCGTATGACTAGGTTGTCCTTGTCTCCTGGATGGATTACGCAAGAATTTAATTTGGTCCTAAGACTAATTGGTTCAAATATTCTTCATTGTTTTCCATTATAGAGGATGTGATGAATACCAAGTTACCAACTAATCAAAATATTTATGTAGTTAAGAGTACAAACATCTCACCCAAATCAGATGCTCCGACCTTGCATCATAAACAACATATCTGCTCCATCCTTGTTTAACCAAAATCTCGTGTCATGAACGATTCTTCCAACCACATTTGTTATTAAACCCTTTTTTGTATCCATTACACCCTTCTAAACCCACCAAACAACACTAAATGGAGCTTAGGGTCCTCTCTTGACCAAGTCGAAAACTAAACCCACACATATCCCTTTAAAAATATGTCCCATCATAAGTTCATAACAATGTTTTTATAAAAATTGAAAATGAAAAAAACTCGAACATAAACATCAAATAGAATTGAATTAGATTTGTTCCCAAACCGTCGTTTTGCTTAATTCTTAATTCCCTTATGATGTTTTTTTCGACGAACAATTCACTTCGAATTTCGACATGAAATATATCTCGAAATATGTCTTACACATACAATTCACTTTAAAAATGATTGTTTTCCATTCTAATATGGAGACCATCATACTTATATCTCAAGTTCCATTCTAATTGATGCTTACCGTGTTCATTGATATGGAGATCTTCAAGCTTCAGATTTAGAACTAATTTTGGCTGCTTTCATTAAAAACATATCAAACTTGAGTGAATTTTGTTTAGGTGTTTTTTTTTTTTTTGTTAATTATCAAATTTAGTCTATAATAATAACTTACCAAAAAAAAATTGGAAACTTTTGAAAATGTAGTAATTCAAAAGTTTTGTAATAAAGTAATAACCTAAAAATAAAATGATGATGATTAATTAGTGTATTACCAAAAAATGATAAATAATAAATATCAGACGGATCGAGTTTGAAGATTGGGGGAAGACCAAATTGGGTTCGGGTCGAGATTGTTTGGTTCGTTGTGTTTCCCCTTTCTCTCTCTCTCTCTCTCTCCCTCTTTCCTCTTACGTAACCCTAACGAAGCGGAGGGAGCAATGCTCTGCTAGATCTATCTTTCCTTCAATTCTCCTCCAAAGATCGTCCAAACTCGCCGTTGAATTCGACGAAACTGCAGCAATTCCTTACTTTACACACAAAAAAAGAGAGTGGATAATAAAAGGCCGCCATGGATTTAGATCAATGGATATCCAAGGTTAAAGACGGCCAACATCTCTCCGAGGACGAGCTTCAGCTTCTCTGCGAATACGTGCGCCTTCTTCTTCTTCTCCTTCTTGTTTTTTTTTTTTTTGTGCTTGCTTTCTCTTCTTGCGTCTACAAAACCCATTTCTTTGCTTTCCCGATTCACGCTGTTAGCTTGCTCTGCTTTTCTGTCACTTTGTCTTCTACCTATACTGTTTTCTTCGTCATTTTGGTTTCCGGATTTTAGGGTTTTTCTATTGACTTGGTGTATGGATTCTAGGGATTTAGGGGTAACATTAGTTCTTCTGTAGCCAATTTAATACACTAACGGATACACAAAAGTCCACGCCCTTGCAAAACTGTTATTGGATGATATGTTTTAGTGTTGAAACCCGTAGTAGCCTTCTTCCTTTGCTAAGATACATTGTTAATCAACAAGATGTCTTGTCATGCTTATACTACTACAGGTGAAAGAAATTCTTATTGAGGAATCAAATGTACAACCCGTCAACAGTCCAGTCACCGTCTGTGGTGATATCCATGGCCAATTTCATGATCTTATGAAGCTTTTCCAGACCGGAGGTCATGTTCCCGAGACGAATTACATATTTATGGTATAGACTCTGTCTTTGGGTGTCGTCTCGTACCAGAAAACAATATGGACACATAGTTTTATTAATTTTCTGTGGGGGATTTTCTTAGGGGGATTTCGTTGATAGAGGTTACAACAGTCTTGAAGTTTTCACTATTCTTTTGCTTCTTAAAGCAAGGTACGTATCTTTATAGCAATTCTTATAGTTATGTTTTCCATACACCACTGATTATCTTTCCCTTTCACTGTAAATCATAATTATCTTGAGAATGCTCAGCTGTAAATGTATGCTTCACTGGTAGTAGATCTCTATTTTGTTTTCCGGGAAATTTCTAACTTACTTTGCTGAAAGACCACTCGTTTCCCTGTTATGTAGACATCCAGCCAATATCACACTTTTGCGTGGAAATCATGAAAGCAGACAGCTAACTCAGGTATGTGTTATTCTATTCCACTTATGTCTATTGTTGATGTGCTCTTCATGCAATTCATAGTGGAGAAGTAATTTTGATTTTCTTCCTCAATTGTTATAACTAGCTTTGAAAGTTGATTTTACACATGTGGCAATGCCATGCTAGATGTAGACATAGATATTAAACTTTCACTATGATGAAGCTGAGAAGTGAACTTCCTAGTGAAAATTAGATGTGTATGATCTATTGATTGTATGATCTAAATTTACTTACATAGTGACAAGTGTTAGAAAGTTGGTATGTAAACAATCCAAGACACTCACAAAGAAGAGAGGAAATGACAACAAATATATTGAGTTCTAGTTTAAGTGTCATATAACACCTGGTGTGTAATTTGTGACCTGCAGGTTCATTTTGTTAAATAGTTATTATAAATTATCATTCCTATTTTATATTCTGTAGGTGTATGGTTTCTATGACGAATGTCAAAGGAAGTATGGTAATGCTAATGCATGGAGATATTGCACAGATGTTTTTGACTATCTTACACTTTCAGCTATTATAGATGGCACTGTAAGTATTTTCCTTCAGCTTCTTTGGCATTGTATTATGATGTACCTTCTCATAGAGTAATATGAATGCACAAGTTCTTTAAACTACATTTAAAAAGTATTGCTTCCTCTGTGTAGGTTCTTTGTGTTCATGGTGGCCTTTCACCCGATGTACGGACAATTGACCAGGTTAAAATATGTTTTTTTAAAATTCCATAATCTAATATTAGTCTACCCTGCAAAAATGTTATTCATAATAATTTTAATCTCACTCACTCACTTTAGATGTTATCTTGTCCTCTAGATAAGATTGATTGAGCGGAATTGCGAAATACCGCATGAAGGACCCTTCTGTGATCTTATGTGGAGTGATCCTGAAGATATTGAGACATGGGCTGTCAGTCCACGTGGAGCTGGTTGGCTTTTTGGGTCTAGGGTTACCACGGAGGTATGAATCTTTATTTAGGTTGAAATTTGAATAGTCTGGATAAAGCATACATGTATCTCTGTTTACTGATCTTTGGTTTTGCTTCTTGTGCAGTTTAACCATATTAACAATCTTGATCTAGTATGTCGTGCACACCAGCTTGTACAAGAAGGTCTCAAGTACATGTTCCAAGATAAAGGTCTTGTAACTGTAAGTGTCTTGTTTTTTTATGATTCATTCTGGATATTTGGAAGTATAATCTTCTTGGTAATGTTTCTTCTCTTATTTTTTTTTAAAGGTGTGGTCTGCACCTAATTACTGCTACCGCTGTGGGAATGTGGCTTCTATATTGAGTTTCAATGACAACATGGTGAGTTATTTGTTTCCTCTTTTCCTACCTATATGCCACAATCTCTCGTATCATGTTCATCTTATTTGTATGCAAGCTTGCTGTTTACTGGAACTTAGACAAGTAGCTCTGGTGAGATAGAGTTGGAATTATGTTTTTGGCATTCATATTAGATCATCTTCTATGGGTTTCTAGATCTTGTAACAGTTGAGTGGGAACTATCTATTTATGTGAAATTTCAGCTCTTGGGGTATTAGAATTTGCCTTCCATATCGATTGTGCTCTCTGTGTTTCTGGGAAGTGTTTAAGATCTGGAGTAATGATTTGTTGAAATATGCTTAATTTACCAGGAAAGGGAAGTGAAGTTCTTCACGGAGACAGAAGAGAACAATCAAATGAGAGGGCCAAGAACAGGTGTTCCTTATTTCCTGTGATTCATGATGATGATCCTAGATCGTTATTAGTCTCGTATTGCTCTGATCAAGTTAGCCATTATCAGCATTGCCATTGGCTTATGTTCTTTTCAAGGTATATCATCTGATGTTGTCTACACTTCCATTGTTTTTTTTATTTTGCTTTTTCCAATTTGGAAACATTTTCTTGTGAAAGTGAATGTCACTTTGGTAATTTTAGTGGTTTTGATGGACTTTAACCTGAACCTCTTCTGGATGTTATTACTATACGTGTTTCTTTTTCGTTTTGTTCCATCTTAGCTCTGTATGTAAGACCAAGTTTTTTTATTATCGCATTCGCAGTTTTTTTTCTTTTCTTAATCGGTTTCGTACGGTCCAGTTAGGTTTTAGTTAATAATCTCAGGCTGGAATAATTCGTCAAGTTCAATAAGTCCACGCAAGAACATAGAGACCATTAGTTAAAACGCTAATTTTTTGTTCATTAATCCTAGCAAAGATTTGATGAGTGTGAGTTAATAATATCGGAACTTATTTGTAAACCGATTCAAAGATTGGTTCGGTTTTCCAAACCGGATTTAACTGGTCATCATCATCTATCAACAACAACAACAACTCGTCGCGAGTCTCTAGGCAACTTAAAAAGCCATAAATATGATAATAAGGGGGCGTGGACTTGTATCACTCGGTACTCACTCTCTCGCGACTCGTAGTCGTCTTCTCCACTTCGATACTCCTCTCTCTTGCCTCCTTCCCCTTGTTCCTCGCCGCTGCTCTATTCTACGGTTGTCTTCTTCTTCTTGTTCCTCGTTCTCTAAGACCGGAGCTGCATCATTGCCATTAAAATCACCGGGAGACATGGCGGAATCGAGATCCCCTCCTGTAGCGAAGAAGGTGGAACATGTGATGGAGATGTTCGGTGACGTTAGGGTCGACAACTACTACTGGCTCCGTGACGATTCTCGTTGCAATCCCGATATGCTTTCTTATCTCCGTGAAGAAAACGACTACACTGATTACGTCATGTCTGGTGAGCCTTTTTCAATTTTACCTCAGTGACGTTGTCAGATTTAGGGTTTCAGTTTGGAGTATTACCTCAGTGACGTTGTGATAATTATATGGATTAAATCGTTTCAGGGACCAAGCAATTTGAGAATCAGCTGTTTGCTGAGATAAGAGGGAGAATCAAAGAAGATGATATATCTGCACCTCTACGCAAGGGTCCTTACTACTATTATGAGAAGAATCTACAAGGAAAAGAGTATGTTCAGCGCTGTAGGCGTTTGATCCCTGACAACAAAGCTGAACCTTCTGTGTATGATACTATGCCAACTGGTCCAGATGCTCCTCCTGAGCATGTGATATTGGATGAGAATATCAAGGCTCAGGAGCATGACTACTACAGAATTGGTGCCTTCAAGGTTGGACTAGGAATTGTTTATTTATTTATTTACTCTTAGAATCTACCATTTGTTAACATGATTTTCCATTCTCTTGATTCTGTCTTCAGGCTAGTCCCAATCATAAATTGGTGGCATATGCAGAGGACACAAAAGGTGATGAAATTTATACAGTAACTGTCATCGACTCTGAAGCCCTAAAACCAGTGGGGGAACAGCTGAAAGGACTGACTTGTTATCTTGAATGGGCTGGTAATGATGCTTTGGTCTACATTACTATGGACGAGATCCTGCGACCTGACAAGGTTTACCTTCAATATTTTTCTCACCCTGCTATCTTGTTGTGCTGGAGGCAGGGATTAACTTTTGCATGATATAGTAAATCTATTTGTATTTATATTATTGCTTTTCTATCAGATTATGACATTAGACACCTTATTGATGCCATATTTTAAAAAAATTTTACTAAGCTTGACAGTACTTATTATGAGAAAATATCAATATTTTTCATGTTCTCAACAGGTTTGGTTACATAAGTTGGGGACAGAGCAGAGCAGTGATGTATGCCTTTACCATGAGAAGGATGATATGTTTTCTCTTGATCTTCACGCTTCTGAGAGCCATAAGTATATATTTGTTGCATCTGAAAGCAAAACGACAAGATTTGTCTTCTCACTTGATGTTTGCAAGCCTCAAGATGGACTTAAGGTGTTGACACCTCGTGTAGATGGCATTGATTCATCTGTCAGTCATCGTGGAAACCACTTTTTCATTCAGAGAAGGAGCACTGAGTTTTACAACTCAGAATTGGTCGCCTGTCCAGTTGATGACACATCCAAGACAACTATTCTGCTTCCACATAGAGAAAGGTATACATCTTTGTTAGAATCTTTTTGCCATTTCCTATCCAAACCCAAATGAAGTCCCAACTACTTTTTTTTTGTCTCATGTATGTTCTTTGGCTTAGACTACATGAATGCCTGGGGTTGTTTTTATATTTCTTATTCATTTTTATTATGCATTTAACTTCAAGTCACTTATGTTATATGTTTGACATGGACAGTGTAAAGATTCAGGAAATTCAGCTTTTTCAAGATCATCTCGCAGTATTTGAGCGTGAACAGGGACTCCAGAAGATAACAGTTCATAGGCTCCCTGCTGAAGGACAGCCACTGGGAGGTCTCCAAGGTGGTCGTAGTGTTAGCTTTGTTGACCCGGTCTATTCAGTTGACTCAACAGAGTCTGAATTTGCGTCCAATGTTTTAAGGTTTCGCTACAGTTCCATGAAAACACCTCCTTCTGTGTATGACTATGACATGGACAGTGGAACTTCCGTTGTCAAGAAGATTGACACAGTAAGTAAACTACTTATTCATGCCAAGTCCCTTCCTAAGGATCTATTTCCTTGCCCTCTGCACATTTAGTTACGGAATTAAATATTTGCAATGCATAAGCGTATTTTATTGAATGGTAATGAGTGGTATTGATATGAAATACACATGGTAAATATGAAACTTTTCCAGGTTTTTCTTTTTGGCTGTTACTTTGCTTTAACGGTTTTTGTTTTCCTAATCTGTCTTCTTCTCTTTCAGCAATTTGATCAATTTGATAACCTTCTGTATTTCATTCAGGTATTGGGAGGTTTTGATGCATCAAATTATGTCACTGAAAGGAAATGGGTTACTGCAACCGACGGAACTCAAATTCCAATGTCTATTGTGTATAACAATAAAATTGCAAAGCTCGATGGGTCTGATCCATTACTGCTTTATGGATATGGTTCATATGAGGTATTTTTAGCTGAAGTTTTTATGGTCCTCAGATTCTCAGTTCTTTTACTTATTTTGAGCTAAGCTTTGAAATACTCTTATTTTGCAGATTTCTGTGGATCCATATTTCAAGGCATCAAGGTTATCCTTGTTAGATCGCGGGTTTATCTATGTAATTGCTCATATTCGTGGGGGTGGTGAAATGGGAAGACAGTGGTACGAGAATGGAAAGTTGTTGAAGAAGAAAAACACCTTCACTGATTTTATTGCTTGTGCTGAGTATGTAATAGAACTTAAGTATTGCACAAAAGAAAAACTGTGCGTCGAAGGAAGAAGTGCTGGCGGATTGCTGATGGGTGCTGTCGTTAATATGAGGCCTGATTTGTTTAAGGTGGCTGTCGCTGGAGTTCCTTTTGTAGACGTTTTGACAACAATGCTGGACCCAACAATTCCGCTTACGACATCAGAATGGGAGGTGAATTACATATATTTATATATTTTTTACTTTGCAAAGTACATCATCTGCATGTGTTTATAGTGATTTGCAATGGGATAACCATAAGAATAAATGGTTTTCTCTAGAAAATTAAGAAGCTGTAGTTAAATTCTGTATAATAATGTTTGATATGTGGTTAGTCATCTGAAAAAGGGCTTAAACTTGTCCGATGTTTGGCTTTTATCATTGTAGGAGTGGGGTGATCCCAGAAAGGAAGAATTTTACACCTATATGAAGTCATATTCCCCTGTCGATAATGTGAGTTTATATCTGACTTCTTTTGATAGTATCTGCAATAAATGATTTGTAAGTTCTCTGTGATGATGCATCTGTTGAAAATATAACAGGTAACAGCACAGAAGTATCCAAATATGCTTGTAACTGCTGGGTTAAACGGTAAGCTTTCTTTAGTGCTAGGGACGGTTTAAAAACAAATTTGTTTCTCTTCGAATAAGGGAGCAGGTTCGTTTCTGACCTATCATTTACCTTTGTAATTGTTGCTGTCTGCCCAACAGATCCAAGAGTGATGTACTCAGAACCTGCCAAGTGGGTGGCGAAACTGAGAGAAATGAAGACTGATAACAACTTACTTCTGTTCAAATGTGAGCTTGGCGCAGGTCATTTCTCAAAATCTGGGAGGTATGGACTTAGTCTTTTCCTTTGTTCCAACAATACAACACATGCCATTTTCTGCAATTTAGACTAAGTTTTAATCTTGTTCAACTAACCAAGAAGGTTTATGTGGAATGTGGTTTGTTTGATCAACTTGCAGATTCGAGAAGCTTCAAGAAGATGCATTTACGTTTGCATTCATGATGAAAGTTTTGGACATGATTCCCGCTTCTGGGTGAGTGCTCAATTTGATGGCTGCGTCATGACCGATGATCTCCTTGCATTGTTGTTGAGGAGAAGTCTTAACAGTTCAGGTGTGTAGTTGTTTCTTTCTTTATTTGGTCTTTTTCTTTAAGCTTAGATTCCTCCTTATTCGTAAGACGATATATGCTGTTTCGCGATCTAGAAGACTTACAAAGACCGTTACACAATCGATTGGTTTTTTTCTTAAATTATACAACTTGAACTACAGTATTCTTTTTGGTATGTGTATGCTTCTATTTATTAGATACGTCTTATTGTGCAAAACTGAGAAAAATACATTCCCATTGATTGTGAGACAAATACATCTGAGAAAAATACATTCCCATTGATTGTGAGACAAATACATTACCATATAATATAGGTATGGCCGTATGGGTATCGAAAAGTTAATCAAGCTGTGTATATTCCAATTTTCTTGCGGAAGTCACTCACCGAAGCCCAATTGATCTTAGAACTCAAAAAAGATTATCGTTGACTATGTATGATTGTATGTATTAGGTTAGGTTTATGACTTGAACTTCAAGTATTTGCATATATGAAAATATTTAAAACAATTACGTCAATCATTTAACATATTGTTTGGCAAATATAGATTAGGGAAATTATTTAGTTAGATTACCTGTTTTGGTCCATGCACTTACATGAAAAACTTAAAAAGATTATGAATATAAGTATATGAGACCCGTAATAGATGGGTTCCGACCCGTTTCACGAAAAAGGTATAAAATCAAAGGAACCGGGTTAAACTAATTTTGGCACGATTACAAAAACCCTTGACACACACGTTGAAAGGCAAAAAAACGAAAAACCCTTGAAAGACTCTGTTCGTCTTCGTCTTGGTCGATTCCTCTCTTAGCGAGCTAAACAGTTCTTCCTTTAGCAGCGATGGAGGGCTTTCCACCACCGATTTATATGGCGCAAGTCAATGCGAAGACCAAAGTTGACGAGAAAGTGGATTACTCAAACCTCCCTTGCCCTATTATCTATGAGGAAGTCCACCGTGAAGCATACAGTACACACTCCTTTACTCTTTCTTTTCTGTTTGATATCTTCGTTCTTTGTGTTTGAGAATTCTACTTTCGGAGATCACAATCTATCTGTGTATTGGGTTTTCTGATTTCTGAGTCTTTTGATCTCCAATTGGTATTAGAACCAACAATCGAGATGAGTCTTACGATTGTAATTTGGGTATTACAAAGTATGAATTTGATGTTTGTGATTCCATGATTCTCAGTTGTTTATTGTTAATTTGGGTGTGGTTTTTAAGTGTTTAATTATGAGATCATGTAGTGGTATGTGTGGATCTGTTTTGACTGGTTTGGTTTCACGTTGCAGTGGCTTTAAAGCCAGAACTATTTGAGGGTTTCCGCTTCGATTATAACAAGATGCTGAACAACAAGTTTTTTCTCAGCCATAGGTAGGGTTCATTCAGTTTTTTTTTATTCTTGTTTGGGATTCTTAACTAAGCCTCTCTCTATTGATGGTTTAAAACAGCTTGTTGATGGGACCAACTGAGGTTCCTACTCGATCATCTGAAATCATCAAAATCCCAACTGCCAATTATGAATTTGGTGCTAACTTCGTTGACCCAAGGGTATGTTTATTGTTGTGTGTTGATACAATGATTTACTTCTACAGGGATAATATATAACATTTTCAAACTTCTTAACAGCTGTTTCTTGTCGGAGGGATCATGATGGATGGTAGACTCAATGTGAAAGGCAAGTGTGATTTAACTGATAATTTTTCCATCAAGGCTAACGCTCAGGTAACCATAGAGTTATTGTGCGTCTGATCTACTGTGTTTGTAGCTGCATAGTATTCTCTTTCCATCTATAACCATATTGTTCCTTTATTACTCTGCCAGCTGACTAATGAAGAACCCATGCCACAAGGCGCCTTCTCCTTTGATTACAAGGTGATGACTTTTCTGTGTTCATTGTGTTATCTTATGGGATACAGCTTTTAGCTTTATTTTAGTTTTGACAATCGCCGTTGTTTGACATTTATATAGGGGTCAGACTACAGAACTCAACTTCAGATTGGAAATGGTTCCTTCTATGGAGCTAACTACATTCAGGTAAAGTGAACAACTGTCCCTTGCTATTATTATGCAGCTGTTCTGTTAGATTTATGTAATTAAGTGTGTAGTTAGTGTAGTTTTTTCCCTTTATTCTTGTGGACAATCGTTCTAATCTTTTAGTCACAAGTCGAAATTCCCATCTTTTCACTGATTTATATTTTTATTTGCAGCATGTGACACCACGCCTATCTTTGGGTGCTGAAGTTTTCTGGGTTGGTCAGCAACGGCAGTCGGGTGTTGGTTATGTAGCTCGTTACGAGACTGATAAAATGGTAAGTGTTTCTTCTTACAGTAGTTGGAATTTGAGCAACTCACGACTTATCAATGTTCCTTTCTTTTATAGAATTGTGTTTTACTAATTACAGCACAAAACGAAATTAGATGGATTGATCTTTCTCTTCTACCTTGATTTATTCTTTTCTGTTTCATCTTTTTGAATTTCTTTAAAATGTTTTATCTCATCAACAGGTTGCCTCTGGGCAAGTTGCTTCCAATGGATTGGCTGTCATGAACTATGTTCAGAAGGTTTCAGAGAAGGTGAAATTTCCAGCCTTGTCTTATTTCACCCTTAATCCTAGAGAGGAGAGTATAAAAGCCAAATCACAATTTTCTTAATAATCAGGTGTCACTTGCAACGGATTTCATATACAATTTTGTGTCAAGAGATGTCACAGCAAGTGTTGGGTATGACTACCTTCTTAGACAGGTACATGCCTTGTTCCTTGTGTTTTTGAAACTAGCAAAAACAAAAAACACTGTTGTAATTATGGTAATGGTAATGTCTGGTGGTTTGGTTTAGTGTCGATTAAGAGGAAAGATCGATTCTAAAGGAGTTACTGCTGCTTACCTCGAAGAACATTTGTCTATTGGACTCAAACTTCTTCTATCGGCAGAGGTAAAGAAAAATGTCTTGACTGACTATATCTGTTACCAAGGTAACATTTTTGATCGTGCTTTTGATAATGAATGGTTGTTAAATGAAACCAGGTGGATCATGTGAAGAAGGATTACAAGTTTGGTTTCGGTGTTAATGCCGGTTAATTCCGTACCAAAAAAAAAAACCTTGCGATCGAGAGTCAAAAATCAAAATCCTGAAGATCCGGTTTATTACTTTTTTTGGCTCCCTAGAAAAGAACATAGGCGGAAAAGTTTTTGTCACTGCGGAGGAGGTTATTAATTAGTGGCTCAACTTCATTTATATTTTTGGGAGGATTATAAAAATAATTTAGATTTTGAATAGGAAAAAAACTAGATTGTTATGGTAGGACTTGAAGTTCATTTGAGGAAATTTTGATATTTGTTACAATTACAAACTGGTGAAACTATGACCTTAGGAATTTATGGTCCTGCCGGGATTGGTTAAACCACCATTGCGAGAGCTTTATATAACCAAATTTCTCGCGATTTCCAGCCTAGATATTTTATGGAAAATATTAAGGGAAGTTATAAAAATATTCCCCCGCCAATTTGTAAAAATCCCTAATTTTCGTCTTCAACTGTAAAAAACCTAAATTCTTGAAATGTTCTGACGTTTTATTTTTGTTTGTCCTTTAAATTTTGTTTTCTGTTTTAATTCTAATTCATATTTTATTTTTTAATGAAACATATAGTAAAACATAAATTTGGGTTTTTGGTAATTCTACAATAAAATTGTGTCAATCTAGTTCTCAGATGTTAGAGGGTGTCAATTGAGTTATGTTTCATCAGATTTGTGTTAATCTGGTTAATTTTCACTTTTAAATATCAAAATTTTGTTATTTATAAAATGATAAATTCGATTGATTTAGATGAGAAACATAACCGTTCTAAATCACATATTTTGGATTGATTTAGTGTTTTTATCTGTGTTTTTATTTTCTAATCTAAAATCTTACTATGTTAATGAATCAAATATTAAAATCTTTCATATTAACTAAAAGAAAATGTTAAGAATGAACAATTATAGATTTTGAAAAAAACTTAAAAAAATCAGTTTTATGCCGACCTATGGCATAGACAATTCAGCTAGTTCTATATAGACTGTACATTCTATAAACATAAAATTTCAATCTAATGTTTTATTGATTTCTCAATTATCCTAGTTTTTTTTTTTTTTTTTTTTGTCAAATGTCAACTATGCCAAACCCAAAGAAAGTGTAGTTGACATATATGGGCCGAAGATACATGAAGTATGGGCCGAAAGCTTAGGGCCGAGGATAACGTGTGTTTGAATGATTATAGTTTTTCTTTTATTTTTTTTGAAGTTTTCTTGTATTTGTATTGAGAATTTTCGACGTTTTAAAAAAACTGACGAGAGCGTATCTAACTACAGTATCTCTTCACTTTCGTCTCTGTTCAAAAACGGCGACGTTGTGCATCTCTCTCTCTCTCTCTCTCTCTCTCTCTCTCTCTCCTCGGCTGCTTCTTTCTTTATTTGGTCAACTTGAGAAATCCCTTCCCTTAGAACGAACGAACACTACAATTTGGCTTCACACTCTCCTTCTTTTCTCAATTTTGCTTCTTTCCTTGGTACTCACTGATTCAAACCCTACCCAATTTTTAATTTTTTCGTGTTCTTAGGGTTCCTTTTATCGAAATTTTGGTTTTTGATTATATTGTCCCGCCATTGCATGTTGTTGTTGAGGGGTTGTGTTCTGTCCTGATTGCTTTTCTGGGTTTCTGATTAATCCTCAATTGAAGCTTTTTGGTGATCGTCCACTCGAAATTGAAGCCAAATCATCAAACATAAAAGCCACCGCCCACTTGGAACTTTCTTTTGGTGATTATGATTGTTTGTTTATTTCGATTTAGCATTACTTTCCAATAGGCAAGTGATGCTCGGCACAAAGCATGTAGCTTTTCGTGGTTTGATCTTATCTGGAAACTCTTTACTGATTCGGGAATGTTTGTTTCGGATTAGCCCTTTTCGTGAGTAGATAACAGAGCTCTCTGTAAAGTTATGCACTTTTAGACGATTACATTACTCTCTTGCGTTTTTCCAGGTTTATCAAGAACTTGACTGCTTGATTCTTCTGAGGGGAGAGAGTGGAAGGAGGTCTTCCGATGGATTCCGCTATTGATATTAGTTCAGATAGTGATGTAGAGATACAAGAAACTAGAACTAGGCCTCCTCTTCCCCTACGGTCAGCTGGAGGTTACAGTTCTTACCTATTAATTGTTAGTTTTTGTTCTTGTGAGGTTTGTTTGGGTAGCTTTATGGAGTTGGTGATCTGGGTGCAATGTTTAACCTAGCAGGTTCTAATAGAAGGGATCCCACGACGTTGAGACCACACTTTATTAATGGGAGTTCTTCCAGTGCAAATGGCCACATGAAAGTGGGACTTACAAATCCTGCTTCACGCAATGGTTTTGAAGCCAAGCCATGGGAAGAGCTTGCGGGAAATGGGAGTATCAGAAGTTCCAGAATCCCCAACATCTCTGTTGGAGATTTTGAAACAATTTCATCTCAACAAGCTCTAAAAAGGACACAGCCACCAGCCTCTAATCGACCTCCTTTTCCTCCTAGACCTGACGATGGTACAAGTAATGGGAATGCGAGTCAGTTTCGTGGGCATTATAATAATCCAGCTGTGTCAACTTCAGGTAACAAGAGTAGTGTTGGTGATCGCTATGGTGGAGCACATGATGAGCTAGGCATTGGGCGTGCGACTAATGGCACTCGGATCCTACCTTCATCTGTGGCTCATGGAACATCTGTGTCTCCTTCGCATGTTAATGGTTTTAGTGATCCAGTGCATAGGAATGGCACAGGTGAAGATAGGAATTCGGATAATGACGAGAGGCTAATCTATCAGGCTGCACTACAGGTAGTCATCCTCATCTCAACTTCTACTTGTGCGATTCTCATCTTATTTTTCCTTTTTGTTCTTTTATTCTCTCTGCAACGCACTTCTTTCTTTTACCAGCTACGCGGTTCTTAAACTTAAGTATATAAACTATTATGTCAGTGGTACTGACGACCATTGAATGACTGCAATAGGCTCGTTCCTTCTTGTTTGTTATCTGTCAGAGATGAATAATAGGTTCTTTAGGTTCGGATGTCTTAATTTCTCTATAATATTTGGGACCGAGTAACATGTTTGGAAGCGGTGTTTTTTTTTTTTTTTTTGAGAAACGATTAGCAATAGGAACACTCTTGTTGCATTCATCTCTTATTTCACACAGTTGCACCAAGGTTATGATGTCCATATCAAAGTTTTTGCATAATTGGCCTTGTCTAAGATAGTGTGATGTAAAGAAAAATAAATAATTTGGCCACAACATGAGATGGTGTGGTAAGTGCTTAAAATTATGATAATCAAATGTTTATATTCTGCAGGAACTGAATCAGTCCAAGTCCGAGGTTGATTTACCTGCCGGTCTTCTGTCAGTTCCCCTTATGAGGCATCAGGTATTCATGTTTTGGTTCATCTTCCAGTATCTGTTAGAATGGCCATTTGTACTAAACTCTGTTGTTTCTCAGAAAATTGCATTGGCATGGATGTTTCAGAAGGAAACTTGTAGTTTGCACTGTCGAGGAGGGATATTAGCTGATGATCAGGTTACTTTTAACTTGAATTTCTTTCCGCTAAACTATCTTTCATTTACTAGGTTTCCCTCAAACTCCTTTTGGTCTCTGTGAAGGGCCTTGGTAAGACAGTCTCGACTATTGCTCTTATCCTAAAGCAAATGCACGAGGCAAAATTGAAGTCCAAGAATTCAAGTAATCAGGAGGCTGAACCACTGGATCTGGATGCTGAGCCATTGGATCTGGATGCTGATGATGAGTCAGAAAATGCATTTGAGAAACCAGAGTCTAAGGCTTCAAATGATAGTGGTGTGAACGGTAGTTCAGGCATAAAGAAAGCCAAAAGAGAAGAAGCAAGTACTTCAACACAGAAATTTATCAGGAACAGACCAGCTGCTGGCACTTTAATTGTTTGTCCGGCCAGTGTTGTGCGGCAGTGGGCTAGAGAACTTGATGAGAAGGTTACTGACGAAGCCAAACTTTCTGTTTTAATATACCACGGCGGTAACAGGACCAAAGATCCTACTGAACTAGCAAAATATGATGTGGTTATGACAACCTACGCTATTGTTTCAAATGAAGTTCCAAAGCAACCCCTGGTGGATGATGATGAGAATGATGAAAAAAATGCCGAAAAATACGGTCTCGCTTCTGGCTTTTCTATCAATAAGAAACGGAAAAATGCAGTGGGTTCTTCTAAGAAGAGTAAGAAGAAAAGTAAAAAAAATGCTGACGATTCTTTGTCTGATCCTGACTCTGGTACTCTGGCAAGAGTTGGGTGGTTCAGAGTTGTTCTAGATGAAGCTCAAACAATTAAGAATCATAGAACTCAAGTGGCAAGAGCATGTTGTGGTCTTCGAGCCAAAAGGAGGTGGTGTTTGTCCGGAACACCGATCCAAAACACAATAGATGATTTATACAGCTATTTCAGGTTTCTAAGATATGATCCATACGCAATGTACAAGTCTTTTTGCCACACAATTAAGGGTCCAATTTCCAGAAATTCCCTTCAAGGTTACAAGAAACTTCAAGTTATTTTAAAGGCTATTATGCTGCGCCGTACGAAAGGTATTGTGACTATCTCATTATTCCTTTTAAGTTGTTGGATTGGTGATGGACAGAACTTGACAAGACAACAGTGTTCTATGTCTTGCATTTTGTTATTTGTCTGCTTATCTCTTAGATTCTTTGTAATGAGATTAGTTGTGAGCTTACTTGAGCCACTACTAATGATAGTCCTAACGTTGAGTCCAATAATAGTATTTGGCTAGTGACTTTTCCATTTTATTTTGCTCTGATCTTATCCTTTTACATGATAGATTTCTCATGTTACTCCTATTATCCCCTCACATAGCTGTGTGCTGCTGTTGAGGGTTTCTGATAATCATCTTTTGATCTGCGATCTAGGAACATTGCTTGATGGCCAGCCTATAATTAATCTACCACCAAAGACAATTAATTTGAGCAAGGTGGACTTTTCGGTAGAGGAGCGGTCTTTCTACTGTAAGCTTGAATCTGATTCACGTTCTCAGTTCAAGGTGCTCTTTCTGTGCCCTCCAAACAATCAATTCATCCTTGGTTTACAGCTGTGATCTGCACGTTTTTGAAAAAATAAGATACTTATGTAGTAACTATTACTTTGTGGTTATTGAGGAGTTTTCATTGAAGAAAATCTTTCGCTGTGATTCCTGTCTAGTCTATGTGATGATATTTCTTTCTCTGCAGGCATATGCTGCTGCAGGAACTTTGAATCAAAACTATGCAAACATTCTTCTCATGCTTTTGCGACTACGCCAAGCTTGTGACCACCCCGAACTTGTTAAAGGATATAACTCAGATTCTGTTGGAAAAGTATCAGAAGAAGCTGTTAAAAAACTCCCTAGGGAGGCTCAGCATAGCCTGCTCAGTCGTTTGGAAGCATCTCCCATCTGCTGTGTCTGTCATGTAAGTGCATAATAATTTACGGATACAAGTAGAATGTCTTCAGGTTTCGCCTTAATCTTAGTCCTTAAGTTGCTAGTTCGGATTTTCTTTGCTCATTCATTTCGTCTTTTGTCTCTTTGCAGGATCCTCCAGACGACCCAGTTGTCACTTTGTGTGGCCATATATTCTGCTATCAATGTGTCTCAGAATATATCACAGGGGATGAGAACACGTGCCCTGTGCCTAGATGCAGAGAACAGCTTGCGCATGATGTTGTTTTCTCTGAATCCACCCTTAGAATTTGCATTGCTGATGATTTGGGTTGTAGTTCTTCGCAGAATAGAGGTCTTGATAAAGCAGTTTTTCAGAACAGCGAGTTTAATTCATCAAAAATCAAAACTGTCTTAGATATTCTGCAGTCGCTTTCTAACCAAGGCAGTCCAAACTCAGCACAGAATAGTCAAATGGCTTCTTCCTCGCAGCCATATGACGATGATGATGTCACTATTGTAGAGAAAACAAGTCTGCAGTCAACTTCTTCTAACCAAGGACCCATAAAAACGATTATATTTTCTCAGTGGACTGGTATGCTTGACTTGGTCGAGCTGTCTCTTGTTGAAAACAGTATAGAATTCAGAAGATTAGATGGTACAATGAGTCTAATTGCCAGAGACAGAGCTGTGAAAGAATTTAGCAACGATCCAGATGTAAGTGTTTGCATATTTTCAAAAGTTCTATCTGAAATTATTTTTTTACTTTATTTTATTAGTGGTACATGTTCCCTCTTTTTATCTTGAAACTCTCTTACAGTGCAAGGTTTCCTAAACAGGTAAAAGTGATGATAATGTCTTTAAAAGCTGGAAATCTTGGGCTGAATATGATTGCTGCATGTCATGTTATTCTTCTGGATCTTTGGTGGAATCCAACAACTGAAGATCAAGCTATTGATCGAGCACATCGTATTGGACAAACTCGACCAGTAACTGTAACTCGTATTACAGTAAAAAATACTGTCGAGGATAGAATCTTGGCTCTCCAGGTACGCCCTAAGATCTATATATAGTTCCTTTTAGCTGACTTGTTTCCCCTATCAGTTTCTCATTTCTGGTTCTGTGATTGTTGTTTATCATCAGGAAGAAAAAAGGAAAATGGTTGCGTCTGCCTTTGGTGAAGATCATGGTGGAAGCTCTGCAACTCGATTAACAGTAGATGATCTCAAGTATTTGTTCATGGTGTAGCCGTTTTTCACATCTTCAGAATTTTGATCATGAAGAAATCTTGAGCTGCATTTTTGGTGTTCTTCAGGTTCACAGATTGATAGTGAGGAAATATGTAAATAACTTGTCTTGTTTTCATAGTATATTCATCAAACTCGCTTTGGAAATTGTAAACTAAACATATACAGTATATAGAGTAAGTTAGTTTTTACATACACTCATGACACGATCATCTGCATAAAGAAAAGCAAATTTTAGTCACTTCAACAAGGTAAGAGTTTTGTGATCATGAAATCATAAACAAAGACATAAGCATCCTGTTGCCTTTCAATGTGACATGTATTTATTTCGTTTGTGTTTCTCTGTTCTTTTTGATTTTCACCCGAGGATTGATGATGGCTGGTTGACATTACATTGACAGTAAAGAAATTGAAATTTAGTTATTCCTCAGCTCATCAGGGGTTTGGTTTGCTTTCAAACCAAAATGAACCAACAAACAAATACACCGCCGAGAAAACGCAGAAAGCATTATATGCAGAGGCAGTGGAAGCATTTGCCAAAATAGCATAAGGAGACAGAAAGTCACAATCACAATACAACTAAGATTGTGTCCCTATGTATACAAAAGAAAGGGACTCTGCTCGTAAACAAAAGAGAACACAAAGTGTACACATCCTTCATGTTCTTTCACTTCCTGCATCTCCAAGCTGATACCGAGTATAGAGGTCGATCTTGCCAGCAAATCACTGCACACCCGCTCTCTTCTTTAATCCTATATCCATCAAACCCGCACCCCTGGAGCAATCTCCTAGCCTGCAACATTGCATAATAGCTAAGAGGGACGTTCCCAAAACCAGCCAAATCGATCCTCTGGCTCCATTTTTCAAGCTTCTCGTGTCTTTCTCTTCTCTCGGAACCCTCGCAGGCTATGATGTTCTTGATCTCCTCCCCAAAGAGCATCTTCTCCACTTTGATCCTATCTTGAGACGTTCTTGGAACTTTTGTTTCCAAGCAATCAAACAATGCTGCGTAGGTGTAGAGTGATTCTAATAGCCTCTCCATTAGTGTGGAGCCGTTGTGGTCTGAGTCTTGCTCAGTGACCACCATGATCTTTGGGGATAAACCCCAAATTGCATTGAGGAAGCTATCAGTCCTTCCTGAACTAAGTAGAGGCAAAGATGAAGCCGAGTCACCGCTCGGGCTGTACCCGTTGTTGTTGCTTATCTCATTCTCAGGTGCCTCAGCTGTAGAGCCATGACTCATCATTAGAACTCTCTGCAAGTCAATTCCACTAGGGTTGTTCTGAAACCGTAAAGCGCAGTTCTTCCTCATGAGATCATCGTCCGAGGCCAAGAAGGTATGCAATTGAAGAACCGAGCTAACGGCTAAGGCCTCTCCTGTTTTAACCCGCAACTGTTCCACGTTTAAACAGTCTAATCTACTCACAACTGGATTAAACTGAAACGGGATATCAAGTTTCTCTGCTTCCTCAATGAGTCTGTGAGCCATTTGATCAAGCACTTCCTTCTGGTGATGAACACCAGTGATTCTCAAATGCGGTGGACCTTCAGGCCTAGAGTTGAAAGCTTGAATCAAAGCAAGCCATTGAGCCGGCTCAGAAGCATCGAAATCGATCACATGAACCATCTTCTCTCCTTCCATAGCCTCGAGTATAGCTCGATTAGTGAGCAAGTAAGAGACTTTGAGTATCGGGAACATCTCAAAGAAGAGTCTCCTAACATGAATCTCTTCAGAGACATTGTTGGTCCTTGTCTGAGTTGCGTTAAGAGCCTTGTAGAGACCAGGCCAGGACTTAAGGATCCTGTTAGCGAGAGCTTCGGTGAAGTAAGCAGCGATCCGCTGCATCGTGTCGCCGTCAGGAGAAGCGAGGTGAGAGAGCTGCTCGAGCGCTGCGTTAGCGTTTTGGAGGCTACCTGAGGCCACGTGGTTGGCGCAAGTTAGCAAGAGGTGGATCAAGTAGAGGCCACGCTCCTCTGGTTTGAGGTCTTTGAGACAGTGGAACGGCGATGAAGAAGCGAGGAGAGTGGGTCTGTTGAGTGACATAGTTGAGAAGACTTGAAGTGGTGATGAAGCTACAGAGGATGTTCCATTATCTTCTTGAAGCATAGCCACCATTGAAGGCCAAAGCTTAGATTTTTGTTTTTATTAACTCGGAACCCAAAACAAAAAAGTTTAATCCTTTTTAAGGAAAAATCGGAACTTTGAGAGACTCGCAACGAGAAGAAGCAAACCCAAGATTCGAAGTTTCTTTAAAGATCCAGAGAATCTGCAGTTTAACAAGAAAAGAAAGGGGGGTTAAAGAACAGAGGAACTAGGGTTTGCAGAAAGTACAGAACTTTAAAAAACCTTTTAAATCTAGTAGAGATAAATAGATAAGATATATAGACAAAAGATTCGAAACACACAACACATACATACATACATAGAGAGCTGAACTAAAAGTGTCTGAATCTGAGAACAAGAAGTAGCAAATGATCATAATAAAACTTACTGGATATAGCATCAATGGAAAGAAAGAAAATGTTTCTTTGTTTATTCAAGAAGGGGGAAGGGGGTGTGTCTCTCTATCTCTCTATCTTGTTATCTATCTATCTAAGTCTCTCTGGTGGTTATCTTGTGAGAGTATTAGCGTGTGTGTGTGTGTGAAATGTTTGTTTGTTTATATTTTTTTTTTGGGGAAAAAAAAAGAAAGGAAAGAAAACACTAAAACAGAGGCATTGTTCCTTTTGGCTGTACGTACCAGACAATGCGTGATAGTCGGTTTTGGCTTCTTCCTCTTTGTCTTTGTCTTTTTTCCTCTTTCACATCTCGCCTTTGCTTCTCTATATATCTCTCTTTTCTTAATCCATCGACCATAGTTTAACTTAATATATTCAGTCTACTACTAACACAACATGAATATTCACAAAAGAATATGGTTTCTTTGGGTTTCTTGAGTGCGTTTTACTGCAGCCATTTGACAAAAAAAAACAAAAATGAGTGCGTTTACACAACAATTAAAGTGGTTTTAACATAAAAAAAATGAATTGAATGAGTACTTAAGCCTAAAATAACTATGTTCCCTTTCACTTTTGTGTTTTAATGTTGTAAAAGCTTGTAGGAACTATAGTCTGTCTTATTGATAGGATTTAATTATCTGAAATAAATTTGTTTTGCCTCATTGAAATTATTATTATAAATATTATATAGAGTCAATATTATAGGGGAAGTCAAGAATGATATGGGGAAGAAGTATCACCTAGAATTTTCTGGTTGAAATTATTAAGTTAAATTGTCTTGATTTAGAGAAACTACCAGGAAAAAAAGTAATACATATATATAAATAGTAATAGAGGGAAGTAAGAAGAAGTTGAATGAAGCAATTTGTCATTATGCAATTTGGAATCAAGTAATAATAGATACATACAGGGATACAACATATATGTCTTTATTCAGAGATTGGAACCTCCACTTTTATGGGTTTTTGTCATGGCATGAGGTGGATTTGGGAATCATCATGGACTTGTATATATTTAAAACATTAAAATTTATAATAAAAAAGCTGGTTTTGGTTTATAAAGAAAGAAAAAAAGAGAGATTGATTCTGAGAGGAAGGAAACGTCCAAACACGCCCTAACAAAGACAAAACATAACCCAAAAACCATCTCTTTTGTTTTTGTTGTTTTGTTTCGAAAATTAATTAATAAAATAAAATACAATAGAGAGAGAGAGAGAGAGATGAGAGAGAGGGTTGGGTTGGGTGTGGGATTTGTCTGTCTTCTCTCTCTCTCTCTGTCTTGATTCATAAGTAATAAATGTTTCGTTGTCTTTTCATTACTTTTCTATTTGTCTTTTTCTTCCTTTTAAAATGAATGTTTTTGTCTTCTTCTCCTCTTTCTCTCTCTCTTTGTTTTCTACTGTTTTGTGTTTGTCTTTGTTTGAGAGAAAAGAACGAACGAACATATTGCAGTTTTTTTTTATAAAAGAAGAAAAGAAAGAAAGACCATTGACCAGAGAGAGCTTGATTGATGATTCCTATAGAAAAAGAATGAGAGAGATCTCTTATTCATTATTATTATTTACTGCTGTACCAGATCTTATCAAATAGTAGTAGATTAGTAACATAGTATTCAAAAATGAGAAAAATATGCTTACACAAAAACAGTAACTATTTTTATATTATTTCATATTTTGATTTTGACTACTCATTAGATGAGCTCATCTCATGATATCTATAATCCAACCATATAACAATCACAATTTCTTAACATTAAGACCAAAAAAAAAAAAAAACAATCACAATTTTGTCAATAGTACAATTGTGGATTCTAATAACCATCCTGCATAGTTGTAGTAGTAGTAGCAATCAAACCTATATATATATATATAAGTGTAGTCAACTTACATGATAAAATAGGATAGTTGGTGAAATGTTTTGTGAATCACTAATAATTCTCTTCATCTTCTTTTTTTCTTCTTTTTTTTCCTTTTTTTGGGTTTAGTGTAAACAATATGCATGTCTCGAGCTCGGTAACACAATTGTTTTTTTTTTTTTTTTTTTGTCAACCAACCCCAACTATAAAGTTATCGGGAATGACTCTCTTCGAGAGAGAGGCATAAAGGGACCGACGAGCTTATATGGGAAAAACAAAAACCACGTGCCCTTGCACATTTCGCAAGTTTATCGGCACAGACATTATCCCCTCTAAGGATATGAAAAATACTGAAACTAACAAATCTATCTTTAAGACTCTTGAAATTACTCAACTCGGAGGAGAAGGCGGGCCAATCCTCGTTATGTGCGGTCATTGCGAGGAGATCCAAGCAATCCGTTGCAAAATGAATGTTAGTCAAGCCAAGTGACACCAAACTGCCCATAGCCCAAATAAGGGTGTCTAACTCGGCATGTAGAGGAGAGAGGCTTCGTCGAGATCCTTTCAGGCCAAGCCACAGGGTTCGTCCTCCAAACGAGACAATCCACCCATGTCCACTTCTTTCCTCCTTAACGTGCCAAGATCCATCTATAAAGCAGATCGGGAGATCTTGAGGGAGAGAGTTGAGTAAAGGCGATGGGGTGTGCACGGTGGCGGCCTCTCTACAATGCACCGATCGCCATACATCTTCCTCTTGCCGTGCTTTCTCCAAGGTCTCTAGCGGGGACTCAGAGACATTCTCAAAAATCTGTAGGTTTCTCGCCTTCCAGATATACCCCATTATCCATGGAAAAACACGTAAATTTGACTCGAGTGCACCAAAGTCTTTGCCTCTCCCATATAAAAAGTCTAAATTGCTAAATAGGGAGGAGGAAGGGAACACCAATGGGTGGGAGGGGATCGCAGAAAGAGCCCATACTTGTTTCGCAGGAGGACATTCAAAAACCATGTGATTAATTGATTCTTCTTCCGCTCCACACCGAGGACATCCTTTATCTCTGCCAATATGGCGATAATGTAGACGTTGACAAGTTGCCAAACATCCAGACAAACATTGCCACACAAAATGTTTTAACTTTCGTGTAGTTTTTAGCTTCCATGATTGCGTCTTCAATGTCGTAATACTAGGTCCCTGAACAGGGGGGTCGCAATCAGGACGAGAGATTGATCTCGCGACGTTGTATCCAGATTTAACGGAATAATTTCCGGACTTTGTTAATGTCCATGCATAACCATCCCTCGATGCTTTTAAGCTCGGTTTGATTCCCATTATTAGGGTAATTTCATCCGGGGGAAAAAGCTCCCAAAGATTGTCTTGTTTCCACCTTTTTGTGTTAAAATCAATCAATGTATTTACACACACAAGGGGATCGCGAAATTGAGATAAACCCTTTGGTGGTCGCGGTGGATTATCTGGGATCCAAGGATCAGTCCAGATGTAAGTATCAAATCCGGATCGAATAGTCTTGCGAATTCCAAACTTGAGGATATGTTTCGCCGATAGCATACTCCTCCAGCCGTAAGAAGGGCGATTTGATATTTCTATCTCTAATAGATTGCAATATCTGAAATACCGTCCTTTCAGCACACGGCTCAAGAGGGAATCTGGGAATCTTAATACCCGCCATAGTTGTTTTGCCAATAAAGCTAGATTGAATTCCTCGAGGGTCCTGAATCCTAGTCCACCATCTTCAAAGCTGGTGCACATTTGCTCCCAAGAAAGCCAATGCATACCCCGACTTTCAGCTTTATTACTCCACCAAAAGTTAGCAATAGCACTACTTAGCTTGGAGGTTATGGCTTTTGGTAGGAGGAAGCACGACATTACATATGTCGGAATTGCTTGCACCACTGATTTGATTAGGACCTCCTTTCCTCCTTTGGAGAGGAACTTGGAGGTCCACATATTTGCTCTTTTGTGGAGTCTATCGCGCACAAACGAAAACACTTATGCCTTTGATCCATGGATCTTTTCAGGGAGGCCAAGGTAAGTTCCCATACCACCTTCTTGGGAAATTCCAACAATGGTTTTAATCTCTTGGCGGAGGAGGGCCGGGATATCATTTCCAAACATGATGGAAGATTTTGCAAAATTGATCTCTTGTCCCGAAGCATCCCCATAACGGCGAATTATATCTATAATTTCCTTACTATGTTGGGGGTCGGCTTTACAAAAGAAGAGGCTGTCGTCTGCAAACAGGAGGTGTGAAACCCTTGGACTTGCATTAGAGATGCGGAGCCCCTGAATTTTTCCCTCCTCTTCAGCCCTTCTTATCTGGGCAATAAGAGCTTCCGTACATAGAATAAATAGGTACGGAGAGATTGGGTCCCCTTGTCGAATACCTCTTGTTGGTCTAACCCTCCCTTTTGGATCTCCGTTGATCAAAATTCGGTATGAGACGGAGGAAATGCAATGCATTATCCATCCCACCCACTTTTGATCAAACCCCATTTTCTCCATCAGAGCTCGTAAGAAGGTCCATTCCACCCTATCATAAGCTTTGCTCATATCGGTTTTGATCGCCATGAACTTAGTCCGATTAGCCTGATTTGAACGAAGGGCATGGAAGTTTTCTTGAGCAATAAGGATATTGTCTGTAATTAGTCTCCCAGCCACAAAGGCCGACTGTGTCTCAGATATAAGTTCCGGAAGAAAACTTTTGAGCCGAAGACTCAAGACCTTGGAGATCACTTTATAGCTTACATTACATAAGCTAATAGGACGAAAACCTGACATCTCACGAGGTCTTTCTCCTTTTGGGATTAAGCAGATGTTGGTTTCGTTGAGTTTTGCATCAAAGAAACCTGAGCTGAAGAAATTACGAATCGTCTTAATAAGGTCGTCTTTTATTGTAGCCCAAAATTTTTGGAAAAATAGGGCAGTCATCCCATCTGGACCTGGGGTCTTTCCTGGATTCAGGGAGAATAAGGCTCGCTTCACCTCCTCCTCTGAGATGTCCTTTGTGAGGGAGTCGTTCATTGATTGAGTAACCAAAATGGGTACATCTCTAATGGCCATCGATGGGTCACTCATATTTGAGGATGTAAAGAGGCGACTAAAGTACTCTACCGCCACTTCTTCTATTCCTTCTTCGGTATCAACCCAAACTCCCATCTGGTTGAGAATGCCAATAATCTTATTTCTTGCCCTCCTTTGCTTAGTAGAAGCGTGGAAAAATTTTGTATTATTATCTCCCTCCAAAAGCCATAACTCCCTACTTTTTTGTTGCCAATAAGCCTCTTCCTCTCTGTAAGCTTCGCACAATTGCCATTTGAGAGCTAGGAGATCTTCTGTGGAAGCTTGATCGTCCTCATAAGCTTCATCAATTTTGGCTTGGAGCTCTTTAATCTGTTTTTCTGAGTTTGAGGGATTATTTTTCTTCCAAATGGAGATAGCTCGTTTGCAGTTTTGGATTTTTTGGTAAATTGAGCGTTCAACACTACCATCCTCTCCACCCCATCCTTCTAGTACTGCTTTACTGAGTCCTGGCTTATCTATCCACCGTTTATCGAACATGAATTTTCTTCGCATCTTTTTTGGTTTAGAGAGCAACGAAGCCAAAAGGGGACGGTGGTCGGACCCCCACATTTTTAAATACTCCACATTTGTGTGGGAAAATAAATTATGCCATTCTTCATTTCCCATGGCTCTATCTAATCTGCATCTTATTGTACCATTTGTTCTATGACCTATCCATGAAAATTGATTTCCTTGGAATGGAAAATCAATTAACCCGCATGAGTCGATCATAGCTCGAAAAGGTAAAAAGGAGGTTTCTGATCGTTTCTTCCCTCCCTTTTTTTCATGGTTTCCAATTATTTCGTTGAAATCCCCAATAATAAACCAAGGTTCGGATCTCACAACACCAATACGCATGAGTCTTTCCCAAACGTATTCACGGTTAGAAACAACCGGATCACCATAAATAAATGTCATAAAGACCCGATTTCCATTAATAATAGTTTCGATATCAATTAACCGGTCATCTAACAAAAGAAACTTAACCGGAAAATCATTCGAATACAATAAAGCTAAACCGCCACTAGTGCCAACTGGCTCGACGGTTTGAAGATTTTCAAATCCTAACTCATCTTGCACATCGTGTAGAAAAGATTTGTCATTCTTCGTTTCCGATAAAAATAAAAAACCTGGTGAGTACATACGACACATCTCACGCAGTCGGCGGCGAGTCAACTTGGCTCCCACCCCTTGA